GATATTCCAAATGATATTATGAAGTCAATAATGATAAATAAGAACATGAAAGACCCATATGGCAAATCAGAAGACTACAAAACCTAGGATTTTCATTGAGGATGCAGGGTGACTTCTACTAATTATGTGCAAAATAATAACCAAACACACAGATGAACCAAAATAACAACCAAATCAAAATTCTAATTCAAATGTAAATTACAATCTAAATTCTAATTCACACCCAATTAACTAAATCACAAAAAAAAAACTCAGATATCCAAAAAAGGAAAATCACAACCAGTTAAACTCAACTTTATGGGAACTTGAGCATCTTGAGCAAGTGAAATTCCATGACAACACCTATTTTCCTTAAGTGAGAACCATTCTACTAGTGAATCTGTAAATCTGCGTGTGTAAAATTTGGTATTTGGCCACCTAATTTTCAAACTTATTGACGAGTATAAAGCTCCAATTGATGTGTGTCTCCATTCGTAAATAGTTTATTTTCAAACACTACTCCTTAATCTTATGCATATCCTAACTTCTTTACAATAGCACCTCAAATTTGAAAGATGCATAAAGAAAATTTTCTGACAATTTGTAGATATAGATATGTATAGTCAACTAAATAGTTCGACAAGTTCTATGGAAACAAAAGAACATTTATGCACATATGTTATTAAGTTTGAAAGATGTAACATCATTAACCATTATACTGTGTGTGTGCTATAATTACAGCAATGATTTCAAAATTTATACCATACATAACCAGAATGTAAACACCATAATCACCCTAGAGTCGCATTCATTAAAAGAAAAATGTTTTAGAGAAAAGAAAGAGCATGGAGTTTATAGCCAATTATCTGAATAAGAAAGATGAGAGTTTTATAGCCAATTATCTGAATAAGAAAGAGAAGAATCTAAGTCTTTTAGGTAGAAAAATTACTTGAGCACTCACTTTGGAAGCTTCTTTAAACTCCTTGTGCCTCCCACGGCCTCAGGGAATCCTGTAAGCATTTAAACTTATGCTTAGATGATTCTAAAGTTGATGCTATAGCCAAATAACTTCTTCCATTAATCTTCTAGAAAATAAAAATCCCAAGGAGATAGAAAAATACTTGTTAGAAAAAAAAAATTCAAGTGCATGAAGAAAAAAAACCAACCTGATAAGAAGAAGAGGCAGTCCAAAAAACAAAACCGTTTGGAAAACTTCCTCGATTGGTTTGTTTCTGTTGTGCCAAACATGTCTCTAAGGACCCCAAAACCACCAAAACAAACTTAGGTGATCAATTCTAGCAATCCCGATCAAAATTCAACACACATAACCGAACAAAACAATTCAAATAACAGAATTGATGAAAGATGGAGAGAATTAACCAATTCAAAATCACGACAGGCAACATCAGGTAAGAGAAGAATTGGTGAATACGTTGATCCAAACCCTAAAAGTAGATTCAAATCATAAAATAAGAAGAAACAAAGAGAGAGAAGATCTGAGAGAGAAAGGAGGAGAACAAAGAGATTACCAGATAAACAAGTTGAGGGAGTTCATATCGTTAGAGGTCTCTTCTTTATGATGAAAGTACTAATAAACAACCATAAAATTCATTAATTTCTAATAAGCATCAAATGAGTACTAATAAACAACCATGAAATTCATTAATGCCTAGAATATGATTTTAAACATCCAAAAAAATATCTATGAATCAATTAAAAAAGTCCAAAATATTGAGAGTACTAATAAACAATTAGTTCAAAGAAATAAATTGACTTGGTCAAACAAGTGAACTGATGTCATAAAGCTAGATTCATATAAAGCTGAAGCAGAAGTCTAACAGTTTCAATACTGATGGAGTGACCTTTGAGAACCACTTGCCGAAATAGAAGCTGAAGTGCTTGTACCACCTATAAAGACAACGTGCATCCAGTCCAACTTGAATCGAATCTAAACAATTTCCAGCCCATTAGCACCATTAGTACTAAATTTTTTTTACACTTGAATCAAACCTAACTTCAATCAGATAAAGAAGTGATAGAGGCAGGGGTAGCAGTCAACATTTTCCGTGCACCACTTCTACCATTCTGAGCTTCACTACTCATTTTGAGAAATAATATATATGCAAGGAATAGTACAAGTATCAGAAAATGAAGAATAAACACAAGTACAGAACCATAATAATGCACCAGTTTAAGAAGAAAATCTCAATCATATTTGTCTATGATTCTAATAAAAGAATTATCACCCTAAAATCCTTATTTCTAGCTAACTACAGATGGGGTATATTAAGAATGACATCAAATATAGCAAAATATGTGTAACAACCCCAACCTCTGAATAATGTTAATCCGTACTTAATTATGCCTAACAGTAATTTAGGAGGGATTTGGAATTAATTTGCATGTGTAGTGCATTATTTTTGTGTTTCTATCTGTTCAATGTAAAAAGATCTGTTCATGTTTTAGTTTCGATTTGCGAATTGAAAGCCTTACTGGCGTCCGAATCAAAAATTGACTTGATTTATATGTTAATTAGGATTTATATAATTTTATGGTAGGTTTAATTGAAATTCGATTTGGAGCGATTAAATTATATTAAATTAATGCCCACTAATTAACCCTATTAAGCACATTTTTGGTTTAAGCCTAATTAGGGCCATTTTGACCGCACTAAGTCGCCTTTTTATTTCATTCTTCCATTTCCTTGATGCCCAACGTGAGAGAGAGGTAGAATTGAGGGATTTGGGTCCTAGGTTCAAGAATTGAATTCAAGGGGAGAATTGCTAGAAGAAAATTTGAAGCTTGCTTATCTTGTCCAAGATTCTAGTACCTAAAGCCCAATTAAACATCTAAGGTAGTAAATTCATTCTTTTGATTGTGGATTTAAGTTGTTCATGCATGAATTCAAGTAGTTGGAGTTATAAGATGTGAGAATCAAGCTTAAGGAGTAGGGAAGTAGATCAATCCATGAATGCATGCATGTTTCATAGCATTTTGAAGATTGATTTTCAAGAATTCCTTTATGCATGTGTTGAGTTCACTCTAATTTTGGAAACACAATGAGTTTCATGTTATTTAGTAGCATTTGATCATGTTTTGGAGAGCCTTAGCTTAAAAATGTACATGCATGTTATGTTCATGAATTAATTTCAAGTTTCAAGTTGAATATTGCTCAATTGGCATACTTCTGGGCTTCGATTTTGTAAAATGATCTTCAAAACATGTTGTTTTATGAGTTTTCATGTATTTCCTCAAGTTATAGGCCCAGAAAATTGAGTTTGATGCTTCAAAGGTCGAATTTGAGCTTGGTGATCAAATCTGGAAATTCCAGAAATTTGATCCACGCTTGAGCGTGGAACTTTATGCTTGAGCGTGCACTCTGAGTACGTGCACTCCGCTCGAGCGTCGAGGTTTACACTCGAGCGTGAAATGCATATACC